GGGGAGGAGGGCTGCGGCGGGAGGGGGTTCAGCCCTTTGTGGCTCGGCCGGCGGGGGGCGGCGGCCGCGGCATCTTTCAAACCCCAGACGCTTCCGCCGCGGGCGGGGGAGGGGCGCGGCGGCCGACGCCGCCCTCCGCGCCCCGCGGCGGCCCCCGTGCGTCCGGGCTGCGGGGCTGGCGCTGCCCGGGGCGCGCTCGCGGGGGCGTTTCCGGCCGCGGCGTCTGGGCGCCTCGGCGGCCGCGGGTCTCCCGGGCGGCGCCTTCACCTCGCGCCCGCCCTTCGCGAAACGAAGCAGTTTCACTTAGCGCCGCGCGGCGTGTTGGCGACCTGGCGGGCCCAAGGACGGCGGGCGACCCCTTCCCTGTTTTTTTCCCCTGGCGCATCCGGAGAAAGCAGAAGTCTAGATTAACAGAGGTCCCGTTACGGTCAACTGGCGATTTAAAAAGAAAGCAGAAACTGCCCTTTGAAACGGAAAATGGTGTACGTGTTTACTTTGTGAAATCGTTAACTTGTTTGAACTCGACCACCTCCTCCTCGTGATGAAAATCCGTGGGATGGGAAAAGATCTTTTAGTTCGATGTGGGGCACTTGCTTTGAGCGACCTGAGGTCTCTTGTTATACCTACCTCAGAGGGAGAGGAATATCCGTTCCCGGGGCTGCCGCGGAGTCCCCTTCAAATGAAAATAGGAATTCAGAACATAACATGAGCTGGGAAAGGGTACGTTTCGCGCGAAGCGACTTCTCTGACTCATACAAACCTTGGGGACGGGGACCGGTCACGTGTTGTTTATACATGAATCTGTACGTCTGGCTCGCTGAGCCTTCAGAAACAGACCCCATCAGCAATGTGCCCAGGCTGAAACTGTCTCTTCTTCCATCGGGCGGCTAGCAGGCTGTTCCCCTTCCCTGTGAGCTGTGTGTCTGTGCGGAATTTGGGTGGAATGGACTTCAGATCGCTTGCGTTTGTGAAGAATGACTTGCTTTGGCCAACCTTTTGATAAGGATTCTTTCCCTGACGTTTTTTCAGAAGGGCTTTTTTTCTGAACTAAAGTACATTGAAAAGTCAAGCCAGTCAGTTTTCCAAATCTCGATAATGTGGAATTTTGCTATTCTTTCTATCTGTCTGATAACTAACGCACAGTTTTCTTCTTCACTTTGATCTTGGGTTGATCTAGTGCTTATTGAAGCCCCTTTGGATGGGGGCCTGACATCCTCCAGAGCTTGTCCTCGTGGGTAGCCGAGGACTGGGCATTTCTACTGAGCATGCTCTGTAGACCACACGTTGCCACATCGTGCTTTCTCTACACCGTTTTGTAGGAAGAGTTTGTAAGTGCTGTAACTCCTTCCCCTTCTCCGCTAAGTAGCTTTTCCATAAAGTTTGCTAACTTTAGGTATTCACAGGGTTATCAAAACAACCCTGACAGTTGGAGAGTGTCTGGAAAAGCCTTTGATCTTTAGATTGCAAGGAGATGGGCGGGAATAGAGATACAGTACTTAGGTCCATGCTTCTCCATAGGTTTTCTTCCTTCTGATTAGTGGAAATGTTGAGCTGTTTTATAATCTCCAAACATTGTGCACTGAATGTGTTTAAGGTGCACGGTAAATTCCTAGAAACTTGAATGCAGTCTTAAAAGTCAAAAGATACCTTGTTTTTTTCCAATGTTATTGCACATTTATTTAGAAAAGAGGTGCTTTTTTTTTCCTTGCTCACATTCCTTAGTCAAGGGGCCAGGAAAAAGGATTGATCCTACTGTTGTAAAATATGAGTGAAAATGTCGAGTCCTTTGTTATATCTCTGTCTTACTGTTTTCAATTTTGTGGAGTTTGAATAGACCAAGTGATACTTAAACATTTCAAGTAGTTTTTTAAGTGAATGGTGATTACTCCTGGCTTTCTGGCCAGGAGTACCTAGGTTCTTTGTGGGAACAAGGGATCATTGTAAGAAATACAGAGAAAAAAATAATCACTGAGGGACTCTTCTTTTACTCTATCCCACTCCCATACATCTGACAAGTAGTGACTTGCAGTAGCTTCCGTGGTAAGCAGGGGCTTCTAAGAAATTTACCTTTATTTACATTCTTTTTTTCTAAAGTAACAAACTTCAGTAGTCATAATCATTGTCAAGTAGCTATGCCCTTCATGACCTCATATGTGAGTGCTTGAATATCTAGGAAATAGTTTCCTTTACTATTGTGATTGAAGAAAGCATGCATTAGTCTACATTTCCCCAGCTTTCTTATAAGTCACTGTGCAGAACTCAGAGGGAAAAAGAAAAGTGATATCCAAAATAAAAGGACACGCTATACTCGTAATTATTCCATCATAAGTGGCATTGCCTTTATGTTCTTGTTTAATTTTTCAAAAGTGAGATAACTTAATAATCATAATGTAGTCCAGAAGCTTATACTTGTGACCTGAATTTACTAAAGTGCTGAGCATAATTAATCAAATGGAGCCGTGTAATAGTCTTTTCAGTATGGTTGGAAAGAGAGAAAGTAGGAATAAGTCTGAGCTCTGAATTTGATTAGAGCAGGGGAAGTGTTGCTGAAATGTACAAAACTTGATAAATTCTTCATAAGGCAAGGTAGTTTTTTGTTTTTAATTGATGCTTGTCACAACTCCAGAAAATTCTGTTTGTGTAGCAGTTGACAATCTAAAGACCAAATAAATAGTCTTTTCCAAACATTTTCAACTGTCAGGGTTGTTTTGATAACTTGAGAGCAAACTGTTTCTGGCACAAATTCCTTGTCCTTCCTAAGGAGAAACCTATCTCACTGAAATGAAGAAAGTCTTATTTTATGACTAGTGCCTTTCTGGTTCTCATTTAGTTTTTCTACACTGGCATCAGCCTTAAGATTAGTCTTTGCTGAGCTGGTTTGTTTCATGATTTGTACCATCAAAATAATCTCTATGTACAGCATATATCCAGACAACAACAAACTGGACCCATAAATATGTACAACTACAATGTGTCAAAAAATAAAAAAAAGTTAATATTTTAGGACACTTTGAATTCAGATTTCAAATATTTGGCAGAAACACAATATTCTCTCAAAACGTTGAATTTCTCTTACTTAGAACACTATTTAGCCAGAATGAAAAAAGAACTATATTTGGAGTGCTGAGATCCTTAATTGCGATTGCCAGACCTAGCGTAGGTATAGAATTCAGGATTTGGGAACGTGCTACAAAAGCTTTACCACTGAATGGATTAATAAAACTGATTTCACATATTTATGAGGTGGTTCTGTGTTGGGCACTTATTCAAGTGTGACATTTAATCTGAACAATTCATTGAGAAGGATTCTATTTGTATCCCCATTTTATTTCAACCCAAGTAGTTTGTGTTCATACTCTTTTTTTCCCCCCAACAATTGACCACCAGAATGCCTTGAATCTTTGCCAACAAAAGTTTTTAATCTATATCGACATTTGTGGCATTGGAAGATGTAGCACCCCCTAAGTTAGTAATGTACAACTTGAAAGTGCTTCCTACAAGTGAATTCCTATACCCCTACTACCTTTCATGAATGGAGACCTCTCTGTCACTCTTTCACCTCTACTATGTAATTTCCTTTTGTTTTTGATTGGCAAATGATAGTTGCATATATTGGTACAGTGTGATGTTTTGATCTAGGTATGTTGTAGAGTGATTAACTCAAGACTGATATTATCTCTTCACCTGCTTTTTTTGTAGTGAGAATACTTAAAATCTCAGCAATTTTGAGATATATACTATATTACTATTAACTATGGTCAGCATGCTATGTTAGGTCACTAAAATGTATTCGGATCATTTGAACCCCAGAGTTTGAGGCTGTAGTAAGATAGGTCACACCACTGTACTCTCGCCTGGGTGATAAAGTGAGACCCAGTCTCTAAAAAAATACAAAGAAAAAAAACTTTTGTTTCTTGTCTAGCTGCAACTTTGTACCTACTATATAATTTCTCTGCAGACTTTGCTTACAGCCTCCTGCCTATCTTTTTATCCTTCCTTTATTTTCATCCATAGTTTATTTAGTTGCTGATTAGTCTCATTTTCACATTCATTAGTTATTTTGTGTGTGTGTGTGTGTGTGTGTGTGTATTTTTTTTTCCCCCCCTGAGTCAGGGTCTCACTGTGTTGCCAGACTGGAGTGCAGTGGCACAATTACAGCTCACCACAGCCTCAGCCTTCTGGGCTCAAGTGATCCTTCCGAGTAGCTGAGACTATGCTAATTAAAAAATTTTTTTTTGTAGAGATGAGGTCTCACTGTGTTGCCTAGGCTGGTCTTGAGTTCCTGGACTCAAGCAATTCTCCCATTTAGGCCTCCCAAAATGCTGGGATTACAGGAATGAGCCACCACTTCTGACCTATCTTATCTTTTATTCTTTCCTTGATCCTCTGTATCTTGCCTGATTTATGTTGGAAAAGTTTGCTTTGATCCTATATTTGTTACTATAGCCTCTCAGTGGGATGGCACTACAAATGATGCACTTAGGAATTAAGACTAGGCTTCAAAGTGAAATCAGACATTTATTCCTTCATTGCCCCCAAAATCCAAAATGGTGTTGTTAACCTCTAAAATCTTTTAAAGTGTTTAGGTTTGTTTTTTTTAATTTCATTCCTTTCTGTAATTAATCTTGGTTCATTCTCCTTTAATATTAGTATTCCAAATCAAAAAAACATTCATTGTCATTGTTATCTATGAGTATTACAGTAGTATTTCTGTAAATTTCCTTTTCAGATATGCTTTCAGACATGTTTTGCTTTACAACCTGAAGAGTTAAACATCTTTTGTATACTGTTATTTTATGAGAGTGAAGAGAAAAATTCAGAGAACCAACTTAAATTTGTGGACTAGAAATACAGTTGTCCCTAGGTATCTGAGAGATTAGTTCCAAGTCTAATCTGGTATCCATTGGATACCAAAATCTGAGGATGCTCAAGTCCCTGATGTAGAATGCCATAGTGTTTGCATGTTACCTGTGCACATCTTCCCATACACTTTAAGTTGTCTCTAGAAAGAATTATCTATAGAAATTATTCAGATTTTTAACTAGAATTGTATATGTTACTATCAATTTTGGCTGGTTTAATTCTGACAATCATTTAATAAGTTTGTTTTGAAAGTTTTATGTGATAAAATTCACTCAGAAACTTGAAGACTTGAGCATCCTAGAGAAAACGTATTAGAAGCAAAACTTTGGTTTTCTTCTTTTTTCTCTTAATCATCTGAATAAATTTATGAATTTTTGACTTTTATAGGAAGTCTTTAGATTTAAAAATAAGTAGCACTTTGTCCCTGATAATTTGTAGGTATTCTGTAGAAGAAAAGATCTCACCCTGGGTATAGCATCCTAACCTTTTCTTTGCTGCTGTTCTCTGCCATCAAGCATATCAGAAACGTTGAATTGAACCCAGGACTTAGAAAAAGGAGTAAGAAATTCATACTTTTAATATCAAAGTACATATTACTTTATTAGATTCTGAATTTCAT